TGTAAGCCTTCATCTTAAGTGAGAATAACAGCACAATTGGAAGAGCGGAGTCAACGTCACTGAACTGTGCATGTAGAAAGTTTTGAAACAGTGTATCTTTGGCTATGTGTCTTTTCAACAAAAAAAAAGGTTAAGAAGTTAGAGGGTTAATATGTTGTGGGGTTGTTAACCAGTGTCACAAAACAACATGTGTACTACTGTTTCATGAGAAACTATTTGTTCTGTAAGCCTTCACCTGAAGTACAATAAAATAAAAAAAAAAAAGAATAGTAAACAAACTATGCCCACAAAGAACACCTAGAATTTTGGAAACCAACATGCAAATCCAAAAACCACCCCAAAGTACATTTACCTGACTCTGTAAAAGTGCATTCTCTTAAAAAATGCTTGGATGAAACAACCATCAGTGATATAAATCTGAAGTCTAAATTGACATGTACTTCAGCTGATTTTCAACAATCAGAAGAAATCTTTTAAGTCTTTACATGATTTTCATTCTTCATTAACAATAAGGCTATAACTGTTCCACTCATTCAATTCTTTGCAAATATTTGAGTGCTTATTCCATGTCAGGCACAGTACCAAGTCCTAGGGTTGGAATTCTAGCAATGTATAAGCCAGACACAGTCCCTGCCTTCATGGCAATCACAGTCTAATGAGTACAAGAAACATTAAATAAATGATGACATAAAAATTTAAGTATAATTGTGGTAAGTGCTATGATGGAAAGTACACCAAACTAAGATACAGTAACCAACTAGCTAAATGATCTTGAACATAAATTTCTTCATCTGTAAAATTAGGGATACTCCTAAATGATCTTTTGTTGTTATTAGGTGTTGTCGAGTCGGTTCCAACTCATAGCAACCCTATGTACAACAGAACGAAATACTGCGGGTCCTGCACCATCCTCACAATTTTTGTTATGCTTGAGCCCACTGTTGCAGCCACTGTGTCAATCCATCTCTTTGAGGGTCCTCCTCTTTTTCGCTGACCCTCTACTTTACCAAGCGTGATGTCCTTCTCCAGGGACTGGTCCTTCCTGATAACATGTCCAAAGTACACGAGACGAAGACTCGCCATCCTTGCTTCTAAGTCGCATTCTGGTTGTACGTCTTCCAACACAGATTTGTTCGTTCTTTTGGCAGTCCATGGTATATTCAATATTCTTTGTCAACACCATAATTCAAAGGTATCAATTCTTCTTCGGTCTTCCTTATTCACTGTCCAGCTTTCACATGTATATGAGGCGACTGAAAATACCGTGGCTTGGGTCAGGTGTACCCTGGTCTCAGAGTGACACTTTTGCTTTTTAAAATGGATGTTAACAGCTGGTTCTTCTTATTTTGAGTTGTGCCACATCAGCAAATGAAGGTCCCAAAAGCTTTACTCCATCCACATCATTAAGGTCTCTGGTGGCTCAGTGGTAAAAAGAGCGGCTGCTAACCAAAAGGTCGGCAGTTCAAATCCACCAGCCACTCCTTGGAAACCCTATGGGGTAGTTCTACTCTGTCCTACAGGGTTGCTATGAGTCAGAATCGACTCGATGGCAATGGGTTCTTTCCCCCTACTTGGAGGAGGCAGCTCTTCCCCAGTCATACTTCGAGTGCCTCCCTACCTGAGGGGCTCATCTTCCAGCCCTATACCAAACAATGTTCCACTGCTATTCATAAGGTTTTCACTAGCCAGGTCCTTCTTCCTAGCCTGTCTTAGTCTGGAAGCTCTGCTGAAACCTGTCCACCATGGGTGACCCTGCTGGTACTTGAAATACCAGTGGCACAGTTTCCAGCCTCACAGTGACACGCAAGCCACCACAGTACAACAAACTGGCAGACACGTGGGGAAATCATCTTTTAAGATCTCTTTAATTAACAAATTTTGTAAATCTAGAAGTATAAAACTTTGCTTCCAGAGTCCTTTGGCAGGATATTTACTTTCAATCTTTGCTTGAACATGTCTATTCATACCTACAAGGATCTACCATGGACTGGATCTTGCATGTTCTACACTTAAATACCATCTTACAAAGATACAGCGCATAGGGAGTTTCTGGTCATGGCACCATGAACTCATCACTGTCCTTATGTTAGGATTTTTGGTGCTTACTATGTGAATGCCTTTGTCAAATGAAGACTGCATACTTATCCTTGAACTTGCTCTTCTTTGGGTACTTTTACTCAACACATGAACATTAGAGTGCAACACTGGAGAAGACAAGTCAAAGGCGAGCAACAGCTTACGGAGTCGATCTTCAGAATGAACCTCCAACTTAACCCAGGTTGCAAGAGCCAGAACACCAGCCTGAAACCTACTTTTGTATGTATAGCCTGGCCTCAAATGTAATTATTTACTCATCAAACTTGAAATAAATTTTAGTTCTTAAGCTATTAAGAAAAAAAAAGCTACAATATGCAATTCTTCATTAAATCCCCACTTATACCCAAAAGGATATAAGGGAGCTAAAATAAAGTTACAGGTAAAATTTCATTTTAATCAGCTCCATAAGACATGTATACTAGTGAGATTTTGTTACAATAAACAGACACTAAGAAATCATATTAACTAGGCAGTGTAGTGATTAAGAGTTTGCCTGCTAACCCAAAGGTCGGCAGTTCGAATCCACTAGGCACTCCTTGGAAACCCTATGGGGCAGTTTTACTCTGTCCTCTAGGGTTGCTATAAGTTGGAATCGACTTGACGGCAACGGGTTTGGTTTTTGGTTTAGGAACTATATCTGAAGTCACATACAGAATCTATCAGCAATGTAATATAATTCACACTTTTACAGGTACCATCTCCCAACACATGAAGATTTTTGACATAAAAATGTAAGATTACATAGAAAGTAAAGTAATGCTTACTGTTACAAATTTTTCAGTCCAAATTCTATATATTAAATATATCCTATGTTCTAAACTAACTATACAGAACAACTTTATAGCTGTGTGAGGGCAGGAAAGTGTGTGCATTAATTATCTATATGTACCAGAATTACTTTGGGGACAGTTTTAAATGCACATCCTCAGCCCCCTCGCCCCAGACCCTACTACAGAATATTGGGAGGTCAGGGCTGGGAATGTGTGCTTTTAATAAGCTTCTCAGGTAATTCCAATACACACCAGTGTTTTAAGAATTTGATCATAGAGCAGAACAAATCATACTGTAAGAAATGCCTTCAGAGTGAAACACGTCAGGATAAGAACTGTAATGAACCTACTTGTGTAGCTTTGTCCCTCATGCAAGGCGCAGCTTGCCCATGACTATCACGAGGCCAGTGCCCTGCAAGGTATGGAGCAGCAAGCGTATCCAGAGAGGAAGTGCGGCGGATAATACTGGAAGGGCTTGAAGAAGGCGGTCGTGTTTTGTCACCTAGATTGAAGACAAAAATATTTATTTAAAAAAAATATTAGGAAGGAAACAAAGCAAAAACTGAGTTTTAAACTATGTAGAAGTTTGAGCTTAAATATACAGAATAAGCAATAGAAAGGAACAAGCTATTGCTATACATAATAACTTGGATAAATCTCCAGGGAGTTATGCTGAGTGAAAACAGCCAATCCCCAAAGGTTACACATGGATGATTTAATTTATATAACATTTTTTAAATAAAAAAAATTTTACATCAATTGGTGTCAACCCACCTGGAGCAAAGGAGAATGAAGAACATCAAAGATACATGGAAAATATTAGCCCAAGAAACAAAAGGGCCACATAAACCAGAGATTCCATCAGCCTGAGACCAGCAGTAGATGGTGCCCAGCTACCAGCAATGATTGCCCTGACAGGGAATACAACAGAGAGTCCCTGATAGAGCAGGAGAAAAGTGGGGTGCAGAACTCAAATTCTATTAAAAAGATCAGACTTAATGGTCTGAAAGAGACTGGAGGGACCCCAGAAGACATGGCCCCTGGACTCTCTGTTAGCCCAGAACTGAAAACATTCCTGAAGCCAACTCTTTAGACATACATTAGACTGGACTATAAGACATAAAATGATACTCGTGAAGAGTGTGCTTCTTAGCTCAAGTAAATACATGAGACTAAATGGGCTGCTCCTGTCCAGAGGTGAGATGAGAAGCCAAAAAGGGACAGGAGCTGGCTGAAAAGACTTGGGAAATCCGGGGTGGAAAGGAGTGTGCTGTCACAGTATAGGGAAAGCAACTAGGGTCACATAACAATGTGTGTATAAATTTTTGTATGAGAAACTAACTTGAACTGTGAACTTTCACTTAAAGCACAATAAAAATAAAATAAAATAAAAAACATTTAGAAATGGAGGAAATGTTAGTGGTTGCCAGGGGTTAGGGACAGAGGAGAGGGGATGAAGGGGAGGAGAGAAGCAGGTATTGTTGTAAAAGGGAAACATGAAGGACCTTTGTGGTACTAAAACTCTTCAGGATCTAGACTGTGGTAGTGTATACTCAGACAGATAGAAGAGATTAAAGTGTACAGAATTTAATACACATACACACAAATGAGTACAAGTAAAACTAAAGAAATTGAATAAGATCAGTGGATTGTATCAATGTCAGTTTTCTAGTTGTGATATTAGACTACAGCTTTGTAAAATGTTCCCACTGAGGGAAATAAAAGATCTATTATTTTTTACAGCTGCATGTGAATCTCCAATTATCTCTATAAAAAATAGAAAGTAAAACAAACATAACTGCTCATGTTTTTTAAATGTTCACCCTGGTTTTAATGGTGTAACATGTAAAATAATTTATAATTAAATCCCCACTTGTACCCAAAAGGATATAAGGCAGCTAAGATAAAGTTACAGGTAAAATATCATTTTAATCAGTTCCATAAGACATGTATACTAGTGAGATTCTGTTACAATAAACAGACACTAGCAAATCATATTAACCAGGTAGTAGGAGCTATATCTGAAGTCACATGTGCAAAAATCTAAAAAAAAAAAAAAAAATCTTTCCCATTTCAAGCTACAGGACATGGATTTAGATGTAAATCAAAAAGAAAAACTAAAAAAATTGAGGTAATGAGAAATTAGAGGTGATGTAGGAGACACAACAAGCATTATGGAGTAAATATAGTCTGTTAAGAAAAGAGGGAAAAAAGCACATTTTGGCTCTTATTTCCATTCTTCTATTTATTATCTCTTATTACCTATTATCTGTTGACTAGCATAAAATCAATGGTTTCAAGTTCATTTATAAATATTTATTAAAGACTAACTGTATGCAAAGCTCTGTAGGAAACAGATGGAGATGTCACCCTCAAACAGCAAATAAGCCATTAGGGGAGATAAGGCAACAGCAGTTCTAATTCAAAGCTGAAAACTGTAAATGCCATTACTGGTTACAGGACAATGACTGACAAAACATTTGTTGAAAAGTAATTCATTATATAGAATTTAGGATAACCAAACTTGAGTTAAGTTCAGTTTCTAATTGCAAATTGTCGACACATGGAATTAGCTTTGTTATAACAAACATTTTTAAAGGACAACTATATTCACTGTTGTCAATGAATAGAAACAAGTTTGCTTGCCAACAATTAATAAATTAACCTACTTATTTGGAAAGAAGTACACATTATACTATCATATTAAAATTTATTCAGCTGGCAATCTACTCCCTAAAAATTTTATGATAGGCTTAAATATTATATATGCTCAAAAAACTCTCCCCTGCTGCAGGGATGACATAAACTACAGATCTTGTCACATCATATAGCTCCCATTTAAGAATTAACAATCAATCTTTATTAACTCCTATAAATAAGGCCAGATCCTTTACTCCTTAGGCTAGCATTTAAGTACCTTTAACAATTAGGTGTGCAAATCCAAATCTGAGAAGCCCTTCCTAAGAAAGCAGCATTTAAATAAAGACCCTAAGGAGGTATATGTGTAAAAGTGGGGAAAAGATCGGATAGATTTGAAAAAGGAAAAACAAAAGAGAACTTCTGTTAATAAACAAATATATTCACTACAATTAAAACTCAACAGATAGGTTAAACAGAAGATTAGGCGCAGCTTAACAGAGTATTAGTGAGCTGGGAGACAAAGAGAAATTACCTAAAAAGTATTACAAAAAGAGACAAAAAATTTGAAAGAGAACTTGGAAGAGAAAACTATTGAGATATTTATTGCAACATATGTGCAATATAAATTCCAGGAGAGAAAAGAGAAAGGCAATATTCAAAGAGATAATGATTGAGAATTTTCCAAAACTGATGAAAGATAGTAATCTTCAGAATGAAGTCTGAAGACCTAGATTCTGTAGTGGAACTGCAGAATCCTAAAGACAATGCAAAAAAATATATAAAATGGCACAAGAGAAAAAGGATCAGCAATTAATTCTCATCAACAGTAACAGAGGGCAAAAAGATAATGCACTAACTTCAAGTGGTAAGAAAATAACTATTAGTTTAGATTCTATACCCAGCTATACTATTATTCAAGAGTTAGGATGAAACAAACTCATTCTCAGACAAATACTGAGAATTACCATGCAAAGAAACGCTACAAAAATTACTTAAAGGAAGGTATCACGGAAAGAAGAAAATCGAAATCTAGGAGAAGGGAGAAGGGTTTAAGAAGCATGGACAAGCAAAGAAAGAAAGAAACGAGTAGATAAATCTAAATAAGCATTTACAGTAAAAATGACAATAATAGTAACAACAACTAATTTAGGAAGTTTTTAAAAAACTAAACTAACAGATAAACTAGATAACAACATGAGCGTTGGGATTGGGGTGATTGGAGTAAAGATTGAGAAAGCCAGGACTCTATTTTAGCCTAGAGAATAATATTTAAGTTTTGGCACCAACTCTGAAAATACAGTAAACAAACATCAATAATCAGCTCCAAACTGTTACCTAATGGTAACTTTCCCTAATGCCCCCCAGTATTAGGAAACTCTCGGCTACTTTTTGATCTTCTGAAATGCTCTTGATCATAAAAATCCTAAACTGAGTGGGGCTGTGTGTCTTCAGGATTACCATTAGTACTCTCTTCTTCAAGCAGCAAATGAAAGAGACTGGGTGGTTGTAAGAGCAAGACCAGAGCAAGAAAAAGAGGGAAAGCCCTAAGAAGTGATGGAAATGTTCTCACAGAAGAACACACTTGAAGAGACAGGAGAGTTGAAGGGAAAGAGCTACAGAGAAAGGGGACATTTACTAGTATAAAAGAGAAAAAAGGGAAGAAGGAACAAATATTGGCCTTATATGTAAATATACACAGCAACCACAAAATGTCAAAGTTGAATGGGACTTTAGAGATCAGCCGCTAATTTAATCATTAGTACCTCTTCTTCACATGTGTGTACCATTTGTTTAGTACCTGCGGATCTTGTACAACAGGTATTATTCTGATTTGTAAAATGGGGCAGGGCAGGTGGGGGGTGGAGGGAATAGGTGGGCTGACACATAGAGAAGTTAAATTACTTGCCTATCGTTGAATAGCTAGTTATGGTAATACTAAGATTTGAATACAGTTTTCTCAGGGTTCTTTCCACCACACAGATTTTGCCTCTCTTTGAAACAATGGGGGCAGGAAGGAGTCTTACTCCAATTCTGTGCCTATTAAATTTCTATCCATGGGAGTATCAAAAAAATTCCTGCTCTTCAGTTTTACAGGAAATTGAATGTTGTGGTATAATACAGAACATCAATTAGAGCAGGCTCACCTATCTAAAGTTTCCCAGTCTGCATCAGAGCAACAAAATTTCTTTAGGATGTTTATTAAAATTGCATTCTTGGATTCCTGGACCCTACCCCAGACCTACCAAATCAGAATCTTGAGGGATGGGAACCAGAGCTTTTCTACAGAATTGATGTATTCCTAGTATCCAATAAATTCCTATGCTATCTCCTTTTTTGTTCATAAGCTTCACTGTTGTTTTATACTTTTCAGGGAACTACAAGGGCATGTTGAAAATGAAACAGGAAGCTGCAAATTATCAGAAAATAAAAAAATTATTGACAATGTTTCATAGTATTTATTATCAATATCTAAAAGTATATAATACAGGCACTTAGCAATCATCCTATTCCAGACACCAACAGAAACCTTTACAGAGGAGTAAGGAAAATAATTTCCTCATTATAACTGACATCAGTCCAAAAGATAGCTCTAAAGACTTAAGTTTATTAACATCTTGCTCACTGACTCCTTGCCTTTGAGATTATCCTAGGAGACTCATAAACAACCAAATCAACTTAAATACCAAACACCAGCTTTGTAATAGGGACAGGTTTGATTTTTGAGCAAATAAAAGGAGTGTTTGACAATACATGAATATTAATTATGGGACATTCAATGCAAATTACAAAAGTAAAATAGTACAATGACAATAAAGCAAATGTAATAAATTGTGTGAGGAAAGTTGTATATAAAACAAAATG